AGCATCATACACAGGAGGCACCAGGCTCTCTCCCTTCCTTCTCCTCCTCCATCGCTCATTGGAAAGAGAGCAAGCAGCACCAAAGCCCAGGCTGCACAGCATACTTACCAAACCCAACAGATACAGAATAGGTACATGTCTTTAAAAAGCACAGACAACACAGATACAGCTTTTTTTTTTTTTTTTTCAAAAACATACTTCATATTTCCTCTTTTATTATATAAATATGTTTAACCTTTTACTGTAAGAATATAAAATGTTTTAAGAGGATCTTTGTTATTTTTTTATACAAATTCACAAACAGTACAATTAATCCATAGGGGTCTCTGGGTTTGCGTTAACTCCATGGTCTGGCCTGTTACTGTGGAGGATTTGAGATTTTGAACAGATGATGGGGAAAAAAAAAAAAAGCCAAGACATTTTTCTTAAAAAAAAACAAAAACCAAAAAACTGCACTTACTCTTCTGCTTTAAAATAATAATGAAAAAAAAAAAACCCGACCCAGCTCCATTTTATTGACAGAACAGAGATAAGACAGATGAACTCCAGTCTCCTCCCCTTCACATTGCAGCCTCAGGGCCTGTAGGCCAGCTCTGTTCCTCTCCACCTACAAACAGGAAGCCTGGCATGGTGACCTTTTGTAGGTGATTTGGGAGGGGAAAGCATTTGCATATATCTCTCTATATAATTGTTAAAAAACCCCAAACAAACAAACTTGCATCTTACACATTTCCGTTAACAGTAGCCCAATCCTCAGCGTGGGTTCTCACATGTTATATGTCTGTCTAGAAGAGTAAAAATGCAGAAGCGGAGTTTGGGTCCCCAGTCCCCAATGAAGAGGGAGGGAGAGGCACAACCAGAATGTGAAGGTAGGACAAAGTAAGGTGAGCTTAAAAACAAAAACTAAAAAGATAAAAAAAAGGGGTAAAATAGAAGAACAAACCCAAGGGGCATTATTCCAGTCTAGGCACAAAAATGTTTCAGTCTTAAAATCTCATTCCTGTAAGAATTCCAGGGCTTTTGAAGAGGGGGGGAAAAAAAAAAAGTAACAAATTAAAACGAGGTAGCCAGACATCATATATATATTTATATATATAGAATATATTCAGCAGAAAAAAAAAAAAGTACTTAAAAATCCACAAGAACAGCAACTTCATATGTCTTTAAAAATAAAACCATGTAAGAAAATGAATACTGTAAAGAGGAGAATGAGTGAGGAAAACTGGGATCAGTTACAGGACATAAGCAAGGGATAGATGGGAGAGTAAGAGGCTGTTTTTGTAGCTGTAATTTTTTTTATGCATTTCAAAATAAAAACAGGTCACAGTATCTCAAATGAAGCAGAAATGAAGCTGGAGATTCTTCCTAATGTCCCCTGGGTAGAGAGGGAGCTAGCCACCCCTTCTACCCACTCACCCCGACCCAAAGAGGAATGGATATGTAGCTGGATATGTCTATCCCTGTTGCCAAGAAAAAGGAGGGGAGAAAAAGAGAGAATGATGAAAGGTAAAATGAGCCTGGTGACTCTGTGTCCCCCAGTGCATGGGAAGGCTTAAGAAACTCGAGTCCATGTCCAGTCCCCACAGAGACAGGAGAAGGAGGATATGGTATCTTCATCTCCAGGAGAGATATGGGGAGAGAGAATGGAGTGCCTAGGCTTTTCCACTAACCATAGTGCAGGGCGACACAGAAACATACAGACAAAAGGAGAGGCTGTAGCTATGCCTAATCTCAGTGCAGTGGAGAACTGGAATAGTGGAAGGTTGTATCCACCCACAGCAGAGAATAACATGGAACTGGAGATTGAAAACAGATTTAAAAAAAAACCCAAAATAATAATAATTAAAAAGAAAAATCAATGTACCTAGGGAGCAGTATTTCTGTCACAATTCCCAGCTGACAGGGGAGGGGCAAGCGCAGAGGTGGAATGGTTATTTTACCAAAAGCTGTGTCTGTGCCCAGTGCAGGATGACTGGGTGGCTGGGTACATAAGTGTAGCTAGGAAGCCTTTCCTGCTGCTGTTGTTCCCATCTCCATTCCCACTCTCCTTTATATAAACCAAAAATAATCTATTCTGAATACATGGCAGAACAAGGGTCTTTCTTTATCCATCCTTAGTGCACGAGGGGATGGAATCAGGGAGTGGGGATAAAGAGGGGTGTCTCTAGCCCCAGTGCATAAGAGTATGGGCTTCTACCTCTTCTGCAGGGAAGGATGCTGTGGGGGAGGGGGGAGCTCTGTCTCCCCAGTGTGGAGCTGGAGGCATGACCTGGAAAAAAGATAGGTGCTTTCTCTCTCTCCTCCTGCCAAACCCCCCCCCCCCCCCCCACGCCTCCTCCAGAGCAAGGGTAGGTAGGCAGCACAGAAGGGCTGAGGATATACTCTCTTTCTCTACGTTCCTCCCTCTGGTGCCAGGGTGCGTGGGTAGCATGGCTCTGTGCGTGCCCCTCTCTCTCTCTTTCTCTCCTCCATTGCAGCAGTCAGTGAGTCCCTCCAGAAGAGATGGAGGTCTCGGGGCACCCCCCTCCTCTCACCTGACCTTCTCGCTCTCAGTCATTTCCCAAAGTCCCAGGTTGAGCACCTTGAGGCAGGGCAGCTGGGTGATGCGCTCCAAGCCCCGCTTGGTAATGCGGGTGCAGCCATAGAGATCAATGCCCGTGAGCTGGCTGAGGTGTTCGGCGATGAGCTCCAGGCCCTTGTCAGTGATGCGGACGCACTGGCCGATGTTGAGAGTGCGGAGCCCGTGCATCTGTCGCACCATGCGGTTGATGCCCTCGTCGCTAATGTGGCAGGAGCAGAGGGAGAGGGAGCGCAACCCATCCAGGCCCTGTGCGATGTAGGCTAGGCTCTGGTCCCCCACCTTGTCGCAGAAGGAGACGTCGAGGCCGGACAGCCGCAGGCTGCCCATGGCCAGATGCATGATGCCTGTGTCACTGATGTTGTCACAGGAGCGCAGGTTGAGGCTGCGCAGGCTGCTCATGTGCGACAGGTGCAGCAGCCCCGCGTCCGAGATGCCCCCACAAAAGCTGAGGTTGAGCTGGCGGAGGCGGCCCAGCCCGCGGGCCAGGTGCTTTAGCGAGAGGTCGCTGAGCTTTTGGCAGTCCTGCAGCGTGAGCTGCTCCAGGCCCAGGCAGCCCTCTGCCGCGCTGCGAGTCATGCCCGCCAGGTGCCCGATGCCCACGTCGGAGAGGTGCCGGCAGGAGCGCAGGTTGAGGCTCTTGAGGCGCTGCAGGCCCCAGGCGATGAGGAGGAGCCCGGTGTTGGTGATGTTGCTGCAGCCCCCCAGCTCGAGCACCTCGAGGCCCTTGAGGTACTGGGCGATGCGTCCCAGGCTGCTGTCCGTGATCTGCTTGCAGAGGCTCAGGTTAAGCGAGCGCAGGGAGCTGATCTCCGCCACGAAGGCGTGGCCCAGCCCGTTGTCGGTGAGGTTGTAGCAGCCGCTGAGGTTGAGGCTCTCGATGTCCGCCATGCCCTGGATCACGTAGCTCAGGCTGCGCCGCAGCGACAGGATCTGAACCCGCCGGATGCCCCGCGCCGCAAGGCTGGGGAAGAGCGAGGGGTTGGCGCGGCGCAGGTGCAGCTTGGCCTCCACGCCCCGCCACACCGAGCGGTGGTAGGCGGCGTCCCGCCAGGCCGTGCACACCTGCGCCGCGCGGCCCTTGTCCCGCACCTCCAGGTACCCGAAGATCATGGCCAGCAGCTCGGGGAATAGGCACGAGATGTGCGTTTCCATCGCACGCCCGCGCCCGGCCGCCCCCGCCGGCGCCGCGCTCCTCCTCGCCGCCGGGCCCGGCCCGCTTCCGTTCGGGGCCCGCCCGCCTTCCGCTCTGCTCCGCGCCGTACCGCGCTCCTCCTCACGGCTGCCGCCGCCCCTCACATCGCCGGCCCGGTCCGGGCGGCGCGGCCCGGCCCGCGGGAGACGCTGCTGCGCGACCGCCGGCCCGGCCCGGCCCGGCCCCAAGCCCTGCGGCCGCCGCTGCTTCTACCGCCGCGCCGGGCGGGCCGCCCCGCTGCTGCCGCCGCGCTGCTGCCGCCGCGCCGCCCCGTGCCGCATCGTGCCGCCTCCCGGCGGGCGGGCGGGTGCGCCCCGGCGGCGGTGGCGGTCCCCGCTCTCTGTCCCTGGTGCCGGCCGCCGAGCCCCACCGCCTCCCTTTGTCTCCGCGCTGCCGCTGCTCACAGCCCGCGGCCCCGGGCCGCCCACATCCCGCTGCGGCGAGAAGCCAGCGAGGGCAGGGAGTCGCGCCGGTCCGGCCCGGCCCGCCCCGCCGTCGGTACCGACTCCGCCGCTCCGGGCCGGCCGCCGCCGGCCGCCTGCTCCGCTCCGCCGCGCGCCGCTCGCTGCTGGGCCCCGGCGCCGCGCTCCGGCCGGGCGGGAGGGGGAGGAGGCGCGGCGAGGCGGGGGGGGAAGGAGGAGGGAGGGAGGGAGGGAGACAGAGAGGAGGCGGTGCGGGGCCGGGCCTGGCGGCGGCAGCGCCACTTCTCCCGTCGTTCCCCCCTATCACCCCCCCCGCGCCGGTTGCGCAATGGTATGATCCGGAACACTCCGAGCCGTCACCCTGGAAACAGCGCGGCCCATTCGCTGCGCCCCGCCGTTAACCGTTGCTGCGCCGCAGCGGCACCCCGCTGCCCGCCGGGGCCGCCTGGAGAGAGCGGGCTTCCGCCCAAGGCACCCACCGAGCGCCGCCGGAGCGCGTAGCGAGCGCGCTTCGCGCCCTGTCGATGTAGAGAAGCTGGTCGCTGCATTGTCACCCTCGGACGCCTCGTCCCCGCTTGGGCGAGGGGTGCCCCGCAGATGGAAGCCCCGCGTCAGCCAGCCCCGCACCACGGTCCAGCCAGGCCACCCCGCTTCAGGCTTCCGGCCTCACCCACTCCCCAGGAACCCATGGTGGTGTTGGGGTTTGCGAAGGGCCGGCTGGTGAACAAACCCCGCAGCAGTCTGGGGAGCTCATGATGCTGCACAGTAGGAGAGGCGGAAAGCAGGCTGCGGCCTTGCTTGTGCCCTTCAGAGTGCAGGCTGTTGTGATCTGTGGCTTGGCCTTTAGACCATGTGGTGGCCCTGAGGACCAGTATTTGGGAACATCCTGTCTAGGCATCCCTGCCGGAGAGACAGAACCATGGCTGTAGATAGCTGGCATACATGGGTAGCCATCAAGGTTGCTAGACCTCTGGGCAGACCATTTTAGGGACTCCGTAATGGAAAATGGAAAAAAATTCAGAAAATGGCTTTCAGCTAATGGTCTTGTTTAACTAGCTCTGAAAACAGCTGAAGTACTCATGTAAACCAAGCAATTCCCATTGATTTCCAGCAATTTCAAGAAAGAATGTTTGAAATTCCCATTTTCTATGTGTCTGTAGCCTTGTGTAATTGTAACTGTGCATGTTTCAACCCTGGGAAGTGTTGCAGCAGTGTTAAAAATGGATTAAATTCTACCAGAGATCAGGTAAGGCTTTTCTAAACAGTTTCAAAGAGCAGGACTGCCTTTCTGTGCCAAAAGAATGTTCACATTTGTTCAACACAACTGTGTGCATTTTTAATACAGTTTGGATTACTAAAATTCTATCAAAATCATCCTAGTTACTGATGTGTTTTCTGTAGTGAGGTTTTCATTAACCTGAAGGAATAGGCTCTATTTTAATCATCATCTAAATTTATCTGCTACAGAAACACTCGTGGCTCCATCTTCATGCACAGATTCTGCATTAGTAGATGCCGTTGACTACTTAGAGGTTAAATGCTTAGATTTCGCTCTGCTTTTTTATTTCTCTTCTAACTGTAAGTGGGAGGTAAGGCGAGTTGAAGGGCTCTGAGGCCCTGGTCCTGCAATGAGATCCCTGTGCGTATAAGCATCACTCTCGACATCAGGCTGTGGTTTGGCACTGCAGGAAAGCAAGCAGTACAGCTCCTATTATTGGCTTAAAAATGGGGCGGCCGCGTGATGTGAAGCGCTGACCTGGTGGTATTCATTCACTCTGCCTGCTTGAGTTAATTCAAGGAGTTTTTGACAGGTTAACTTTTTACTAGCAGACTTTATGCTGGATCAGGTATCACTGTACACAGTTCCAGCCAGATCAGGTATCGTCTGCACCCTTGCACCTGGCATACGGCCAGCATAAGATTGGCGTTGGCTCCATATTGCGCGCTCTGGCTCATTCATAAGAAGCATGATCATGTGCCTTGGCCTGATCCCGATCAAATTTGTACTCCTGGGTGATGCAGCAATGTGTAGACCTGGTTTTAATGATTGTGGAGCAGTATCCACACAAATGCTGTATTGGGGTGCCACCCAGTATGCCTTATCTTTATTTAGTTTTACGCTGTCAGGGGGAGATGGTTAACCATCGGGTTCATAAGAAAAAGATTAGGGACAATGGATTTTGCTGAGCAGCCACGCTGCAGATCTGCTATGCTCAGAGCAGTCATAGAGCATCACAACTGAAAAGGAGAACTTCCATGAAGTGAGGAGTGGGTGAAAGGTGTGGCATCTCACAGGCTGCATTGACTTGCCTCGTGCTTTGCTGAAGACGGCGGGATCGCTTACAAGAAGGCCAAGTCTGGTAGACATCAGGCAGCGTGTGAAAGGAATGTGGTACAAAGGTGGTGTTGGTGTATCTCAGTGATTACTCATAACTGGCAAAGCTACAACCAAGTTATACAAGTCATTCTGAGAGAGTGCTAATGAAGTCTTTTACCATATTATCCCAAATTCGACTGCAGAATCTTAGCCATGGAAATAATATGGTATTTCCTCTCTCTAAGCCTTTCACCTTCAAACCACATTTGAGGGGGAGTGAGGAAAGGCGTGCCCTTTAAGGCATAAAAGTTTACCTGAAATACTTTATGTCTTAGCACGTTGTGTCTGTAATGCCTGCTGTGTGTAATCTGCAAAGGTTAGGAGCAGATGAAGCATTTTCTGGAGACCCTGAAGTCCTCCTTCTCATGTATTACATACTTGAGTGTCTGTGCTGCCTTGTGAACAAGTAAGATATACATGTTAAATGGAACAGCCCTGGAATTTGGACTCGGAATTCTAATCTACCATGGGGTTGGGTTTTTTTTGTTTTGGCTTGTTTTTTTGGGGGGGAGGTGGGGCACATAAATTATTTTTTAGTAGATTTTTATCACTCGCTTTTGGTAAGTGACAAGATGTTTGGAAATAGAGGTTTAGAAAGACGAAGCAAAAGCACATGAAAAGAGCCAATTTATCACATAGTTGCTCTGTTGACTTTGTGTTTCCAGCAGTAAGGAAACACGTGCCGTGTTTTTCATGATCTCATATGGTATAAATAGGAGGTGGTAATCACCGTGCGATAAACTGCATTTTATTAAAAATCCCTGCCTGCCTTCTATATGCTCTGGCGGCTGCTCTGTCCCCTCTGGAACCATCTCCAGCATTCCAGCCCCTTGAGCAGCTCCCAACAGCCCTTTTCTCTTTTTGAAAGCACTTGCCAGAGAAATGTTTTGTTCTGTTTTTTTCCCTGCAATTACACCGGTGTTCAGCGGAGGCTGGGCAGTTTTGCTTGGTAAGGGTTCAGGAGGAGCCACGTAACTCATCTGTTTGTGGCTTCTGCGATTGGAAATAATTTGTGCTGATAAAGCTGCACCATCATCTGTCCTTTATCTTTCATTGCATAGCTAGGCATAACATCCATCCGCTAGGTCTCCTCTCAGTCTGTCCCTATTTTTCTTATCAACTTGCAGGGTAACTTTTGGCTCAAATTAATCATTTAAGAGATAAATACAGAGTCCTTCTCTAGCCAACCTTGTCTTCTGCCACTCTTCTCCTTGTGCTTTCTGCATTTTCACGCCTTCAGCCATGGAATGGAAATCTGCCCACAGGAATCTTCTTGGCCTTTGGCTTCTTCTTACCTTGCCTTCTCTTGTGCCCACAGTGGACAACCCCTCCCACTGCCTCACCTGGCTGCGCTGTCGCATGTCCCAGAGCCTGGGAGATGAGAAGTAGCTTTATCTGACGGAGCAGACAAGCAGCTCAGATTTATGTGCTCCACTCATGGTTAAGATGATCAAAGGGATGCAGGGGAGGTAGGAGCCCAATGGGGTCCTCATACATCTAGGCAGTTTTGGAGATCTGAGCTTTCATTTAAAATGGTGGTGTTTTACTTCCCACCTTTGAAAAAAACAAAAGGCATGGATGGCCTCAGCCTCCCTCATCTGTCGCAGGAGCTGCAGGCTGGTGCCTTTTGGGGTGCAGCCTGCCACAATCCGTTAGCTAATTTCCTGTGACTGGCTGATGTTGGGTTTTCAGTCCCTTTGTCCAGCCCACCACTACATTACTTCTGAGTTTAAAGCATTTGCCACAGTCAAAGCTGTAGAGAGGAAATTTCTCCTCTCCAAAGAAATGTATCTGGTTTAATGAGCAGTTCAGCTTACACTGTTTTGGGACTGGTTCAAGTTCTAATGCCGGCCACACTTGAGGGGGCTTGAATTGGTCTTCACAAATTGGCTTCCAGACCTTCTTCATCAGATTGGAAGCATGTCCACAAAAATCGGCTAACTCCAATATAAACCAAGGTCTTAAACGGGGTTTAAAGGTGGTTTAGTGGAACTTCTTTAAAGTCAATTTGGGGAATATTTTTTGTGATGAATGAGAGCCAAATGGTCCTTTTGCATTGCTGACACCTAAGCCACCATCTTCTGACACGGCTCAGCAAAATAAGGATGCCAGCTTGTCATGGAGGCAGTGTGGTGCTCACCAGCGTTTCACACTGAGAGAACTCCTGACTCCTACTGTAGAGCTTTTCTTCTCTTAGCAAGGTGTCAGATAAGCTGTGCTGGGGTGTGTTAGAGGTTCCTTTCCTTTCTTGACTGTAAAGCAAAGAAGATCCCCTAGAACCCTTCTGTGAATTCAACGGCTAATTAAATGACAAAGATCTCTGTTAAGAGTTACGCATTAAGGTGTAGGCAGAACAGCTGTGTAGTATGCATATTTTAGATACATAAGCATGTATACATATCTATGTACATGCATACATACATAAATCAGGATAGGGCTGTTAAGTGAATGAGTTCCCTTTGCAATTCATGCTGATCATGATCTGGGTTTTTTTGATCAGAGATGATAAAGAAAATCTAAGTAGTCAGCAGGTTATGTCAGTGTCTCACCACCCTAAGAATTCTTCACTATGAGGTAGTAAGACACAGGAACAGGTTGCTCAGAGAAGCTGTGGCTGCCCCATCCCTTGAAGTGTTCCAAGGCCAGATTGGATGGGGCTTTGAGCAACCTGGTCTAGTGGAAGGTGTGACTGTAGGATCCTCTCGCGTGCAGAGCTTTGTTGTGGAGCTTAGGTCACTATGAAGCTTCCTTAAAAACCCATACTTTGCAGGTGTCATATCTCCAGTAGGTGCTACACAAGATTCGGTTTTAGGATTACGTGGTTTGTGCTGCACAAAGTAATTCTGATCTGCTATGTGTTTCCTGCTGTCAGGGTTTCTTATTCAAATGCAGCGTTCTGTGAACACGTGGTTAGGCGCTGGTGCAAAATGCAGAGTTGACGTTGCAGTGCAGACTCCAGCTCTGTATTTAAGCCTTTGGGATTTGGGCATTTTCTTCAGGTTTTGATTGTCAGTCTATAGCTGAACAAGGGTATAACTATGCTGATATGAGGTGGAATGGTTGGAATATGGAACGTCTGGATTATATTCCCAGTTTTGCCGTTAAAGTGGTCAGTAAGTGTTGCTGCTGTTAGAGATTGAAGCAAGCATAAATAAAAGGATTGCTTGAAGAACCAAAATAATACATTATGGTCCAGGCAACTGCACTTGAATGCCGTGTACCTATCATGTATGTCTCGTCTCCTCTTGTGGAACAGGACTGTCTGGTGGTTAGAGCCACGACCTGGGCCCCTGGCTGCAGGCAGTTCTCTGACTGACATGCATGTCACGCCCCTCACATGAAGCTCAGTCCTCAATGGTTAAAAATCATCAAAGGGAAAGTGCTCTGAAAGGGCAGCATGTAAAATCTCAAACCTCAGCGCTTGCAGTTCATTGTATTGGGTGCTATTCTAAGTGTTGAGCTTTGTTGTTTCTTTATTAGCAGCACCAAGGAAGATCAAGATGGCAGAAAATATTTGATGTAATCATTATTATTAAAAGCAGTAGCACAAAAACAAAGAGACCTTTCAGGTAGTAATCGCTTTCATAAGCCATTCCTCGGGATTGAACTCTGAGACCTCTACAACTCAATCTAAAAGGGGCAGCCCCTGCAGTCACAGCAGAAACGTGTCCGACATGCTGTGTGGTACCTGTTTTACAGCAGCAGGTTTGTGAAATCTTCCCCTGTAGCAGCTGTTTAGTCCAAAACCCAGCAGAGATGGCCAGACACTGTGTAGTGACCTGTTGACAGCCAGCACATTCAGTCTGGAATGGAGGAGATGTTCTGGCCCTTGGCTGAGGTTGGAGAAGTAATGGGTGCAGCCTCCCTTC